ACTTACAAGTCTGTAAAAACTAGACTCATGTGCCTAACGGCTTCAGATATAGTGGGAGGGTATTTAAAGCCACTGCCTTGTATTAAGTGCATTCATGGGACCAGCGCAAGGCAGCGGCAGCTTGACCAGCCGGCTAACCTGAATGAACCAGTCAGCCGTTTTGCTGGAATAAAGAACCAAAGAGGAGAGGTATAGTCTCAACCTCCAGGACTCCCATCTCTGAAGCCCATAAGAACGCCATGCACGGCAGACACCCTGGGGCAGGAGGGGCGGTACGATCTCACCTACAAGTTCAGTACACAGATAGCAAGTTGAGTGGACCAGCTAGCGAGAAGCCATAAGCTGTTCTAGCTGAGAGGAAAAGTTCAAGCCCCACACCATGCCAAGACGGTTCCTTTTGCGATGGCTGCCAGATTTACTGCAGGCTTTGTCCCTTCTATTATTTTGGAATGCTGTACGCGTTTTTTTTTCTGGCTTAGACTATATCAACTCAGGTACCAAAACTGTGATGTCCCCATATGATTATGACTATTTTTACAGTAATCATTATCTACTTATGAAGATATGCAGGCCTATAACAGTACTCTGGCCACGTGGTGCCTTCGAAGGCCACAGTGCCCTTACTCTGAAAAGTTTGCACGTCCTGCATGATGATAATCTGCTGTGAAAATGATTAAAATATATCTGACAGTTCTAGCTTCTCTCAAGTCATGTGTTCAACCTAGCCAACGATGGCTTTTGTAAATTCAGAAAAAATGTTTGCATCACTTCAATTCATAAACTGGTAAAGGCAATTTTCAAACCTTAGCCCTGTGTCAGTATTAGATTTAATCAGCAAATTACTATATATTCAATCAATTAAATACTTTCACGCTATGCATGTATTTGATATTAAAGAAATTAACGCTGTGTATTTCATGTATGATATTTTAGTGAGACAGATATTAAGACTGATTGTAAGTACGGGACTAAATATTATGACCGAATTTAATTTCAGAATACAAACATTTAACTTCAAGAAAACTCAAACGTCTTCAATAGATACTGAAAAGTCAGATGTCCTCTTCCACTGATATAAAATGATGTTGAAATTATTACAGAAAAATCAATACCTACATCGCGTGTAACG